CATGGGACCACCTGCAGTGACAAACTTTTTTCAACAAGGCCACACCTCTTAATCCTTTCAAATAGTGCCACTCCATGGTCACCAAGCATTCAAATCTGTGACCCCTGGGGGCCATTCTCATTCAAACCACCACGGCTTCCTGCACCTACACCTGGCAGGAAGCCTGTTGGCTAATCCTAGGGCCCCTCTGTGACCTTGGTAGAATAGCCATTGCTCTTGGCAGTGGCACCGTGGACCTGATGCTTGTGTGAGCATTCTCCTCTCTCCTGGGCGTCTGTTCCACAATGACTGCCAGCTGGCTGTGAAGTCCTGGCTTTGAGCCCCAAAGGGCCCGAAGATGGTTCTCATTCACAGGTAGTTCAGTTTGGCCCTTACAGGGTTCCAGAGGAAGGACCACTGCAGGGTGCCAAGCTGACAGTGGACAGAGGAAGGAAGAGAAACGCCACTTGGTGGCATAGGCTTGATACAGGACATTTGTTGGAGCTAAGTGAAGGGCTGCGACTGTGCTTCTAGCAGCAAAATTAAACAACACTCAAAACAGGTAACTAACGTAACGAGGCTGTGAAGAGATTCTTGTTGCTGTCTTTCTCTGCTCTGAGCTGGACTGAGCACCACAAACTAAATACAGTCACGTAATGATGGGAATCCGTTCTGAGAAACGTGTCAGTAGATGATTTGTTATTCTGTGCACATGCTAGAGTGCCCCACAGCCGTGTATGGTATAGCCCTTTAATCCTAGGCTGTATGTTATAGCCCGTACGCCTAGGTAGTTAACCCATGAACAGCGTCCCTGTGCTGCTACCACAGGCTACAGTCTTGTCCAGCTGCCCGTACGAGAGGTGAGGCAAAATACTAGGGATGGAAATTGTTTTCAAGTTATAATCCTTTTTCCCCCCACTGTAATCTTAGGGAAACTGCACTATGCAATTTGTCTTTAACCAGCACTGCTACGCAGCCCATGATAAAATCAGCCTCAGCAATTAAAGTCTAATAAGAAATGCTCAAGAAACCCTTGCCTAGGCTTTCCCTCTTCGATATCTTGAGATTTTATTCCTAGCAAATTCTTTATAACCTGAAAACCTAATGGGAAGCACCATCAGTGGGAAATTGCACTGTAAGGATGTGACCACGTTCAGTCCTTTTTTCCATGCGAACTCCTAATTCTCCCAGCCATGCTGGCCTCAAAAGAGGAGTTGAGAAGTGTGCTCCTCTGCTGTAGGTTTGGGCACTGTTGGGACTGGTTTTTTCCTTAGATGTTTGCTGTTCACTAGGGAGGATTTGTGGGCCTGCACCCTTTTGGTGGGAAAGCTACGTGTTTGTTTTTGTGGGGAAATATACCTAAAAGAAAATTTACCACTTTCGTCCTTCTTAAGTGTGTGGCTTACTGGCATTCAGCATTCATGTTGTGCAGGCATTACAGCATCCATCTCTAGACTTCCCATCCTCCCCAGCGGAAACTGTACTGGTTTTTTGGTCTAGCTTGTTTTGTTTTGGCTTCATGTATGTATTTGTCTGGTATGGGGTGGGTTTTGTTTTGTTTGCTTTTGAGACAGTCTCACTGTGTGGTCCAGGCTGACCTTAAACCTTTGGCACTCTTACATCAGCTTCCTGAGTGCTATAATCATAGGCATGTGTCACCGTACCTGGCTAGCTTCCTTTTAAAATTGTGTATCTTGAAGGTATGCAGTAAGACTTTTTCTTAGCAGTGCATGTATGTAGTGAAATCTTACTTAGTTACCCTTGTGGGGGTGTGTGTATGTGCATATGGACATGCACTTTTCAAAATTTTAGGTTAGCATTTAGCATTTTAGGTTATTTAGCATTTTAGGTTATTTAGCATTTTAGGTTATTTAGCATTGAATTTCATTATGTCATTTTCATACATGTAAAGAACACATAGATTAGCTCATCCTACATACAACTTGCTGTGGTCTCCCTGACATCACTTCATTTTCCATTTTCTGATGTGGGTCTGCTATACATCTTAACTCCTTCTTCCCTGCTCTAGCAAGCACCACTCTGCTCTCTGTCCCTTTGGATCTGACTACTCTAGGAACCTTCTCTAAGAGGAACAATACAGTGTGTTCTCTTGTAATTGTCCTGTTTCACTTCTTAAACACCTTTAAGATCTGTCCAGATTGTAGCCTGTGTCAAAATAGACTGTTGGGTGTTTCTTATTCCTTCAGAGAACACGTCAGGCTACTTCCTTGTCTGTCTACAGTGCCACTGTGAATCTGAGCGTACAAACAACTTTTCAGATCCCTCTCTGCTTTTATTCCTTCTGGATATATACCCCAAAATGGAATTGCTGGCTCTGGGTCTAATTTTTGGGAAGTTCACTAAACTGTTTCCATAGCAGCTGCATCATTTTACATCCTATCAGCAGTGTGTAAGGTTTCCAGTTTCTTCATATCCTTGCCAACACTTGCATTTTCTGATTTATTCTTTACATATATGTGCGCGCGCGCACACACACACACACACACACACACACACACACACATATATATATATATACATACATACATACACTAAGTATATGTTAGTTGTCATGATCTTGTTTTTATTTAAATTATAGATTCATCAAATAAGTTTAGGTCTGCTTAGGTTTTTTTTTTTTTTTTTTTTTTTTTTAACTTGTGATGTTTTAAGATAGTTATTATAGGGCTGGAGAGGTGGCTCAGAGGTTAAGAGCACTGACTGCTCTTCCAAAGGTCCTGAGTTCAATTCCCAACAACCACATGGTGGCTCACAACCATCTATAATAAGGTTTGGTGCCCTCTTCTGACATGCAGGTGTTACATGTAGGCAGAACACTGTATACATAATAAATAAAAAATTAAAAAAAAGATAGTATAGATTAGTTGTTTTCAAAATAAATAAATAAATAAATAAATAATTGTCTGTAATAGCCCTTTAGTGAGGTCATGGTGATAGCTCCACTTTCATTCCTTTATGTCAGATAAGTATGCCTTCTATGCAGTCGTTCAAACAATGTACAAATAGCAAAAAACCTGCTTCTACAAGTTTATAGTGTAATTTGAGAACTTTACATTAAAATTATGGATTTAAAAGATTTTATATATTTGTTAGAGTTATTAGATATTTATTTACTAAAGAAGACTAAATAGTGCAGCACCAGATATATGACTATTAAATATGATAAAAGAAATGGATGTCTGTGTGGTTAATTAAAGAAGCAGCTGCCTAAACAAAAAAACTGCCACTGACATTTTGCTCTTGGCCAGACTGATTGTGTCTTTTTGTCTGTGGTCATTTACAGTGAGAGAAACTTTGCTTTCTTTTCCTTTTTCAACAGCGATTACTATCACATGATCATTTGAAGGGTTAGAATCACATTTAGATTTGGTTTTCCTGGGTGGGAACCATTGTTTGTGTCATTTTTCATATCTAAGCATGAATTGCCTGTCCTTGTGGGCGTTACCAGTTTCTGCTCTTTGGCACACAGAACATTTTATGAATACACTTAATGCAGAAAGGTCTAAAGATAGTTTTGTAGGTAGAGTTGGTGGTTTTGTTGGTGTTGTGTTGAGTACTGGCTATAGAGAACAAAGGCACATCAGGGTAAAGGCGGAGCTGCATTCAGGACAAGGGACAAGCCAGGGGTTGGGGCCCGGCAGGCAGCCAGCCTATTTAGGCCTGGCTAAGCTGCTTTTTTATTAAAACCCCAACAGGGAAAATGCTGAAAGGATAGTGAGATGTTTTTGACATTCTGAGGTTTGCTTTGAGCAGGGTAGTAGAGAGTGCTCCCTGCATTTTTATGCCTAATGGCAATGTCTCAGAGCCTTGAGGCCTGTGACGTGCCTGTCACCTAGAAACTGTTACAGCAGTAGGCTGAGTGCTTCGAGGGACAGCTGAGCCACCAAACAGCAGCACAGAAGACAGTGGGAGCTTCTTTTGAACAGTTGTTTGTTTTTTTTTTAATAAAGACTTGAGACTGACGTCTTTAACCAGAACATACTTATGATGACATAGCCTATTAATTTTAAATTACCAACTTAATTATCAACATCATCTTCAACTAATGACTCTTCTCTGAGCATGTGTTTATGGAGAAATGTCTTTCCAACAGTATATTGGCTATTAAAAGTGTATGTGTATCAGCCGCCGATCCGGGAGCACGGGTTGTTTTCCCATCACCTAGTATATCTGTGATGTTCTTTTTCACAAGTAGGTCCGTAGAAGACTTATTTGTTTAGACATAAGTACTTAATCTGGAGGTGGAGATGCATTTTGAATGGGATACTTTTCCTAATTTCTTTCTCTGAGAGTATATTTTGGTTATGTATGGAATCTGTTTTAAAAAAATATGATTTTGTATCCTGCAACTTTAGTGTAGGTGTTTATTGGATCTAGGAGTTGTCTAGGGAGCTTAATAAGGCCTTTTAAGTAAAGAGCCATGTTGCCTGTTGGTGGGGCGTTTCCTTTTTTTATCTTTCCTTTTTTTACCTTTATGCCTTTGTCTCATCTAATTGCTTCAGCTAAGGTTTTTGAGCACAGCATCAAATTGTCCATTTCTGATTTTATAGGAAACGTTCTCAGCTTGTCTCTGCTTACTGTAATGTTGGCTATAGGTGTGTTGTATATTTGTGTATTTGCCTTTATTATTTTGAGGTATATTGTTTCTATTCCTAAGGTCTCCAGAACTTTTCTCATAAACAAATGTTAATTTGTCAAATGTGTTTTCAGTACCAACTGAAAAAATTTATGTCCTTAGGTATATTTATATGCTGTATTACATTTATTGATTTATATATGTTGAGCCAATGTTGCCTTTCTAGGATGAAGCCCACTTGTTCATAATGGGTAATCTCTTATTATGTCCTTAAATTTGGTTTGCAGCTATTTTGTTGAGAATTTTCCCATCCATGTTCATCAAAGAAATTAATCTGTAGCTTTCTTTTTCTGTTGGGTCTTTGCCTGGTTTTGACAAACTATTTTAATACTTGCTGAGTAAGTAACTGTTTGTGGCTTTGCAGGTCCTGTTTAGGATGAATGTGATTTGGAGAAATTGCATTTGTCGTCTGAGGCCAGGGAAGGTGCCACGCAGATGCCAGAGCGTTGCTCCCCCGGTGGCCCCTCTGGGGTCAAGGATTTTAACTGACCCCGCCAAAGTTTTTGAACACAACATGTGGTGAGTTTCCCCCCCCAACATTTATTGATTTTTTGTGGAGCATGTGATACAGAGCACATGTGGAGGCCAGAGGACAGCTTTCGGGAGTCTTTTTTCCTCATCCATCCTGTGGGTTCTAAAGATCCAGCTCAGATCATCAGGCTTAGCGGCAAGGTATAGTACCCACTGAACCATCTTGCTGGCCCAAATTTTACTTTTCAATTTGATAGTATGTGTGTTCATTAGCTTTATTTTTCCCGTATGACCAAGGAAGGGTTTGTTTTGTTTTTTAAAGATATGGTCTCTCTTTGTAGCGCTGGCTGTTATGGAACTCTCTATGTGAGACCAGGCTGGCCTTGAACTCACAGAAATCCAACTGCCTACAGAGTGAGCTCCAGGACAGCCAAGGCTACAAAGCAAGACTCTGATCTCTAAATAAATTAATAATAATAATAATAATAATAATACATGCTGAGAGTCAAGTGTTTTCAGAGGGAGAGAGCGGGAGAGGATTAGAAAGAATGTTCTGGCCTTAAGAACAAGGTGGTCGTACATACTGGTGTGAGCGCTGCCTTCTGTCTTATGTACCTACACACATGCATACGTGGCTTTTGAAGTTGTTCGTGATATTTAAAAGATTAAATTATCTTGCTTTGTTACACTGATTTTTTTTAAGCGTTTTTTGTCACGCTTATTTCCTCTAAAGAACGTTTCTTTTGTAAATGAGATCTTATGCTTTCTGAGGCACGCTGTGGAACCTGGGAGTCTGGAGAGTCAAAGCCTGGGGACCTGAGGCCAGTCCCACGACCCAGAGGGTGGAAAGAAAGAGCCGACTGCCGCAGGGTGTCCCCTGACCTCCTCACTGTGGCACACACGGGAGTGACCAAACACAACTTAAAGATAAATTTCAAAACGCAGTAACATCTTTTAAAGGTTAAAAGCATACTTCTTATCCACAGCAGATAATGGCATTTGGTTTTACTATAAATGTGGTTCGTATCTTGCTTATAAGATTTTTTTTACTGTTTCCCACTTCTTTCCTAAGATTCCCTGCACTCTGCCCAAAGGTTGTCCATAAGTCTCAGCATCTACATTGATAGTCTGCAGGGCAGAGCTTTTCAGAGGTCCTCTGTGTCAGGCTCCTGACTTGTTCCCTCTTTTCTCCTTCTTCTGATGTCCAGCCTCTTTTCCTTTCTGGGTAGGAATTGAACATTTTAGCAAGAGTCCTTCCTCTTGATTAGTTTCTTTAGGTGTACAGATTTTAGTAGGTTTATCCTATACTATATGTCTATATGAGTGAGTATATACCGTGTGCATCCCTCTGCTGCTGGGATAGCTCACTCAGGATGATGTTTTCCAGATCCCACCATTTACCTGCAAATTTCATGATTTCCTTGTTTTTTATTGCTGAGTAATATTCCATTGTGTAGATATACCACAATTCGTGCATCCATTCTTCCACTGAGGGGCATCTGGGCTGTTTCTAGCTTCTGGCTATTACAAATAAGGCTGCTACAAACATGGTTGAGCAAATGTCCTTATTGTGTACTTGAGAATCTTTTGGATATATGCCTAGGAGTGGTATAGCTGGATCTTGAGGAAGCGCTATTCCTAGTTGTCTGAGAAAGCGCCACTCCATAAGGAGAGCAACAGAACCAAAAAAATCTGAGCACAGGGGTCTTTCCTGAGACTGCTATTCCAACCAAGGACTATGCATGGAGATAACCTAAGACCCCTGCACAGATGTAGCCCATGGCAGTTCAGTATCCAAGTGGGTTCCATTGTGATAGGAACAGGGACTGTCTCTGACATGAACTGATTGACCTGCTCTTTAATTACCTCCCCCTGAGGGGGAAGCAGCATTACCAGGCCACAGAAGAGGACAAGGCAGCCACTCCTGATGAGACCTAATTGACTAGGATCAGAAGGAAGAAAAAGGGGTCCTCCCCTATCAGTGGACTTGGGGAGGGGCAGGCATGCAGAGGGTGGAGGAAGGGAGGGATTGGGACCGGAGGAGAGAGGGAACCAAGGGGGGGTGGGGATACAAAGTGAGTAAAGTGTAATTAATAAAGAAAAATAAAATAAATAAAAATAAATAAAAAAGATTTTTTTTTTTAAAAGAGAGATTATAGTCCTCTGCAGATCATTTCAAGGCTCTAATCAGGAGACTTAAAGCAAATCCCAGAGTGAGGGGCTCTGTTTCCTTTCTACAAGTCCTTCCTCCGCCCTGTCTTCCTGTTTGCTTGAGGACTAGCCTGTGGAGCAGGGTCCGTGGAGATGGAACAGCAATTATGGGCTACTTAGGAATACAGCTGATTATTAATTAGTCCGGTGTCATGTAATAATGGCAGCTACTGACCACGAGTGGTTCCAGAGTGCTGGGAGTGTGGCTGGTCTACGTTTTTTTTTTTTTGAAGTCCTGGAAGGGCTGGGATGATGACTTAGAGATTGCCACATCAGCCTAAGGGCCTGGCCTAAGTTCACTCCCCAAGATGCACCTGATGCGGGGAGGGCCTTGACATGGTGTCACATGCTGGTCATCCCAGAGCTGAGGAGGCAGAGACAGGCATTCCTGGGTCACGGCCAACCAGCATAGATGACTCGATGATGCACACCCATATATTCTCAGCACGTAAGAGGCTGAGGGAGATGTGCTTCTGTGAGTTATGGGCCGGCGTGGGCTACCTTGTCTCAAATAAACCAAGGTGACTGGATGGATGGGTGGATGGATGGATGGATGGATGGATGGATGGATGGATGGATGGATAGAAAAGCAGGCTTATATTGAGTTAAGCAGTCCAGACCTAGCACATCAGTGGCTCCTCAGCTTCTCACACACTCTGGGAGCCCAGAATCTTCTCGGGGCTCTTGTCTCCATAGTGTGCCCCCGTGGGGGTCCAGCCTGCACTGGGTGGCCTGTGACAGTAGTAAGAATGTCCTTCCCCAAGGAGCAGGGAAGACTGCTGCTGCCATCATCCTGCATAGCCTTTGCCTCCTGTGCCCTCCCCTCCACTTCCTTCCTTTTCCTTTATTTGTTTGTTTGTTCACTTATTTTTGTTTTCCCAGACAGGGCTTCTCTGTGTAACAGCCCTGGCCATCCTGGAACTCACTCTGTAGACCACCTGCCTCTGCCTCCCACGTGTTAGGATTAAAGGCGTGCGCCACCACACCCGGCCCCCTTTCATCTTTAAAAATGTGTTATTGGACCAGTGAGATGGCTCAGTGGGTTAAGATTCTTTCCACCAGGCCGGCAGCCTAAGTTCAACTGCAGAGCCCCACATGGTGGAAGGAGAGAACGCCGTCTGCAGGCTGTCCTCTGAGAGCACCACCACCCCATCTCTCTCTCTCTCTCTCTCTCTCTCTCTCTCTCTCTCTGTCACACACACACACACACACACACACACACACACACACAGAGTCAGTCAGGAAATGGGACTTTCAGCATTCACTATGGTTGCTGTTATTTTGGACCTTTTGAGGCAGGTCTCACTGTGTAGCACAGACTGGCCTCAAGTGCTGGCCTCCTGCCTCCAGCATCCCGAGTGCCGCACTGCAGACCGATAAGCACCACCACGCTCAGTTTAGGTTTTGATTTTTAAAAGGTTTATAAGTTTATTCTGTTTTTCCTCCAAGTCCACAGTTCTATCAAAAAGCTCACATTTACCTTCTTATTTTCTTTAAGAATGTGTTTCTTGTTTTGACATGTTTGATTTTTAAAAGTTTTTTTTTTTTTTCTAGAAAAGTGCAGTTTACTGATGGACCAGCATGTGTAGACAGTATATGCACATAGAAAACGGGGCTGAGAGGTGAAAAATGGTTAGCTTTTACCATGTGAGCTGTGCACCCATGTTTTCTGGGTTCTTATTTGGGGAGTGTCTTTTTTTTTTCCTGTTTCTATTTCTAAATTCTGTTTAGACTAGCGAAATTGATTTTATGACTCCTCAAAGGGTTATGACCTTTAGTTAAGAAAACACGGAGCTAAGCCATCCTCTGGAGACCCAAGATAAGACCTGGATGTTACAACATGACCTGTTCCATAAATCATGGAAATAATGGACCGTTTCCAGGACCAGAAGAGGCACAGATGGCATGAGCTCTTCTTCATTACATAATCCTTCTTAGGTAATCATTGTAGTTACTATCTGAGTCCATACCCTGTACTGTCCTTAGATCTTTAACACAGCTCATCAATAAATATTCCCTTTAGCTTCCTCTAGCATGGCTTTCCACAAGAGACCCTGTGTAGACATGGAGAACACAGACTCAGTAGTTTACCTAACTTTGAGAAGCCACTAAATCCACCCCTCACTCAGCTTCTTAGTCTGTGAGATGGGATCATAATAGTCGTAACTACTGTTATCCTTACAATACCTGGTATTGTAAGGATTAAACTATTTTATATATAGTGTAAAGTACCTATACATAGTAAATAAGCAATATACTACCTAAGAATTAGCCATCTTATTAGTATTATGATTTGTGTACACTTTATTTCTACAACTGTTTTCGTGTTCATTATGAGACTATGATTTTACAGAGAAGAACTTAGGTCTGTTTCATAGTGGTAATCCCTGTATAATGGGCACCCAGTAACCATGTCTTAGTAATAAATAGTGTAGAAATTGGAAGATGTGGTTCCTGTCTACCACAAGTTTACAGCAAGGCTCAAAATTAATGCAATGGCTCAGGGTGGGCTTTAGAGTTCAAGAGATCCGAATTCCTATCCCATGTCCATCCCTGTCCAGTTGGCTTCAGGGCCTAGGAGATCTGAATTCATGCCTGGTTTCTATCCATGTCCAGCTATGTGAGCAGGTTTATTCATGAAACTCCTTTGTGTAAAGTAAACGATTCTAGTACAGCTCTTAGCAGTTCTGAGTAGAGCTCACTAAAGATATTCTTATCATCATTCTCAGGTACAAAATTGAGATTCATAGTTATAAATAAACAACACAAAGGATGTGTACTGTCTGGTGATTAGCACACTGCAGAACCTTAATTTATGTGACCTGAGCTTTGAAGGA